TCCCTACATGCTAACCTAGCCCTTCTCATACAGAAAAGCTCTCATCTGTCCAACCACATTGTTTGTGCGCTGCAGCCCCTGCTCTCTCCCCATCACTCACTCTCACACACACACACACCCACCCCCCTCTGTCTTTTGGGATGGCTTGCATTTTGGGGCAGGAACTGACTAATTCTGTATTTGTACAACACCTTGCACGGGGGAGCCCAATCCTGACTCGGTGCAGTATAAGAACCTGGATTCAACCTTCCCGTCTTCTACCTAGTCCCTAAAGCCACCTGGGACCATGCACACTCAGGTGCTTTCAAAAATAAAGACGCTCCTAAGCCTCCAGCATGTTCGGATAACAGCCAATTACATTAGTCCCATAGGATCAGGTCTGTGGTTCTGTTCTCTAAGCCCAGAGCAATTTACGGCTTCCCAGAGTTTACAGAACTCAGAAAATGTATCATAGGGACTCGGTATCGCTCATCTGCATCACTTCTCTCGCTCTCATTATTGCTCTCTATTGCAATATGCTGTTCAGCACTCCTGATGCGTATTCTTCCCCTCACCCCATACCATGTCATACTACTTCATAACCAATCACTAATTATGTAATCAGGAGGCAGATGGAGAACAGGGTCCAATCTTGCAGCCGAGACCCCCACTGATGTAAGTGGGTTTGTGTACGTAAAAACTTCAGGACCCTAAGCCCCAGTGTTGAACAGAAAAGGAGGAAAGCCACAACAGGGGCAGTGCACAGTATTGTTTCTAGAAGGAAATGGTGTTTCAGTTTCCCACGAGGCACCGGTAGCTCTTCAAACAAAGACCAAACCTCGATTCTGCCACCAAATTCACATGCCAATGAAAGATCTTGACCCACTGCTTAGGGTCGGAGTCCCTCTCTCTGCTCAAATCCCCCAACTCAACCCAACTCCATGAACATCTGACCATCAGAGTAGCCTGGTGAGATCCGAGTTCAGCGTCCCTGCAACCCGAGGGGAGGAATCCCCTCTGATAATAATAGGTAAGGGCCATCTCCCTCACTGCTCTTCTGATCCAGCTAACCAAGAAAAAAAACTGCAGTTTTCGGGTCCCCGAGCAGAGCGCAAACTCAATTTGCACTGGTTCCCTAGGCAGGGGGGAGGCAGAGTTAAGTGCTTTGTTGTCCACTACACTACACCTTTGTTTCCTGGGAGATTTGGGTTAGATTGGCATCAGATGTCAGGGCTGAGTCTGCTCTGCCTTGCTGCAGGGATACCTTTCAGCTGGAGCCTGGTGTGTTCAGGTGTGTTAACTCCACTACTCCCTCCGAGGCAGACAGCGAAGCAAAGCAAACACCAGTGATTTCCAATAAGTGCATGCCGGTTTAATTGAGATGTTGTGTTCTGCTAATTGACTGAGCTGAGAAAAAGAAAAAAAAAAGCCAAACCAGAAGTAGCACACAGGTACAGTACGAAAAACGCACACCAAGTCAGATCTGCAGATGCCTGTTGGCTCGGGCAAAGAGGTATCCTGGGAAACCATATACGGTTTCCTATTGCTCCAAGGACCGTCCTGGCAAACTGCAATTAAAGCCTCGAAAAGAATACTTACACTTCCCGGAGGTTCGGGAGCTCTGTAAAGGCAGAAGGATCGATCTCCGTCAACTTGTTGTAGCTCAGGTTTCTGTTAAAATAAAAGACAGTCGGATCAGCATGCTACAGTCACTGCACTCAGCAAAACCCGGTCGTCTTAATTATTCTGGATTGCATTGTGAGATGATCTGCTGTTTTACAAGAGCACTTAAGAAACAAGGAGAGGGAGGGGGAAGAGAAGCACTTTCTGCTGCATAAACTGGCCGGTTATTGGGTTCTGCTATCAGAACATATGAGGCCTCTCCTAGATTCCCTGTCTCCCATTCATATTAATGTATGCACTTAATTTATCTTAATATGAGACAATTAAGTTTACTGTTTCCCTCCTGGTTATTCATAACCACACTCTTGATCACAGATAAACAGATCGTTTTCCATTATAAAGCCTGATCTGAAGCAGTCAGCAAACCCCGTGCTGAATATTTTATGCAGACACCCACATATTTTATACACACGCAAAGGTATGGGTATAAATAAAGGCGTGCTCGGCGTTTTCTAAACAGGGCTAATCTCACTCACAGATCTGAACCATTCCTTTTTTGCAGGCGCCCTGTGACACACTACCGCATGCATATCACCCCAAAATGCACCAGATGGCCTAGAATAGGGTCGAGGCCAGTGCAAAACCACACTGCGATGAGAATCGCTTTGCTGTTATACCCTCGAGGTCTCTTCCAACCCTACAATTTCATCCTGAGCGGCTGTTACTAGCAAGTGACACGCTACAGATAAATCTGCCCGAAGGGAGTGAAGGAGCTACTGATAAGCTTAATATTAATTAAAGCCAAATTATGAATGACATGGGAATTAAGCAAGCAAATCATCATAATGTGCGTGATCCTGGCCCGTTGGAGCAGGATTTGGGCAGGGAGGAGGCACGGTATGTGGGTTGTAGCAAATGCACAGAGGTGGGACGTATGCAGGAGGGACGGGCTTTATCATTATACCTGCTGCAGATGATCAAACCCTGCTCCAACCTGGTCGTCCCCCCCCCCGTCTCCCCTGCAGCCTGCTTGCACCCTCCGAGTGTCGGGAAACCAGCTGTTGCATCCCCTCGGCAGGGCGCTAGCAGCGCCCAGGAGGTGCTGCTGGCCTAGGAGATGATCCAAATGGCCCAGGCTTCCTATAGAGGAGCCTGAAGTGCCTCCCAAGGGCAATCCACATCCCTTCACCGCTCAGCATGGAGGCGCCGACAGCAAACCGATGGGATGCAACAGATACCCGGCTGCGTCTGACTCGAGGCTGGGAGGGCGGCACTGCCGTCACGCTGGGATCCAGACTGCTCGGAGGGGAGGTGCCCACCAGAAGAGGAGGAAAGCAGCAGTCACTAGGGAAGAGGATGTTCTGGACAGGTCCTCCGTCCCGCGGGGAAGAGGACGCTGCCCTGGGAGGGAGCTGGCACCTGGTCTCTGCTTCCAGGACGCGGTTGCTGCCGAGCTGGATCCGGCCCTTAGACACCTCTAAAAACATTACACACAGTCCAGGCCCCAAAGAGCTTACGGTGTAAAAAGAAAAGAACAAAACGGTAGGTGGAAGAGACGGGGGAAACAGCAGCCACGTGGCTCTTCAGGTCCTCTGGAGCATCCTTTATGCATGTTGTGGTTGCCCCTGAAGGTCTCAGGCATGGACCACGGCCCAGGCACAGTAAAAAAAAAAAAAAAAAAAGGTTTCTGCCCCAAAGAGCTTGCAAGACTCGCACACACACCCCCAAAGCTTTCCCAGTACTTCCACAATAAGCAATAAGACAGCGTGTTGGGTTTTTTTCCGGCATGAAACATCCAGCCGTCCGCAAGTACCTCCTGTGAAACCATCTCCAAGAGTTCAAAGTAGATCCTTAATAGAAACTGGGACTGAAGTAGCATGAGTTTCAGACCCAAAGAAGCATCTATTTTAAAAATATGCTGTCCTGCAAACTCCCTGCTCCAGTCTTTTTAAATGCTTGGGAGACCTTTAAATCAATACCAGCCTACAGCAGATATCCCTTCCCCCATGAAGTCAGAGGCATTTATCTAAATAAAAGTCAAGCTGCCGTTTAAACTAGAACTATATTTGCAAGCCAAGTTCATATTCATAGCATAATTACAAATCAAAGTGTAATTTGTCCATAATTGCATTACTACAAAGAATAGTAATAATAATAAAAAAAAAAAAAACCCAACCCAGCACAATCGCATTTGAGCTTGTTTGTGCCCCAGGCACAGAATAAAAGGAGTGTAACAAGTAGTGTCCTACAGACCCAGCGCACAGAAAGAAAGCAGTCCAAGGCAGTACGAGCTCTTCTGGGGAGTTTTAAGACGGAAATGATGTCTCAGCTGAGCCCAACTCCTGCTTTGACCCTTTAAATGGGACCTCTGTATAAATGACCATTTACCCACCTGTCTAAGGCACTTGTGTAGCTAAGTGCTTTGCAATCTAGTGCATTTATTTTCACACGCCACAAGCCATCACGATGACAGAGGAGAGAATCGTTGCCATTTTCAGGGGGAGAAGTATCCCGGAGGAGTGCTTTCTCGCCGAGCACAAGCCGCATCCTCACACCGTAACACGTTTCGTTTTCCCAACAAAGGCGGACGGAGGGAATAATTGCGTGATCGTAAAGATTTCAAGCAGGTGAAAGGTTTCCATGCTCAAAGGTTAATGTCACTGCAGGTAACCTCCTTGTACTGTATTATCATTCCCGGGCCAGAGGTTTGAAGGTTGTCAGCGCCATCGTGCACGCACGCTTCTCTATTATAACCGTATTTTGCCTGTGGGGTGAGTGTGAACTAAGCCAAGTACAGGGAAATATACAGTCTGGGAGCTGTTGTACCAGGTGGACTGCTCATGTACATATTCAGGGCGCGTCCATACATGCAGGCACGCGCACTTGCAGCAGCTCAAATAGGAGCGGCACAAATTTGTGCCGGAGATTTTTGCCTCGACACGCGTGCCTGAACACGCACTTTGGTGCGGGGCAAACTGTGCCACGTGGGGCAACGTGACCCTGCCCAGCTCTTCCTGGATCTTCAGCCAATGGAGCTAGAGGCTGGGGCCAGTAAAGGTGTATAAAAATGCCGCAAGAGGCACGTGCGCACTCGTCTGGATGCATCTTCGGTGTTTCAGTGAGACCAGAATTGTTCCCGTTTACATGAAGGCACCAGAAAATTTCTAGTCTGCCACATCACTAAACAGAGGGCCTTGCCTAAGAATTTGGATAGGGAGCGTATGGTACCTCTGTCAGGGCTTGCAAATGGAAAAGAGACATCTGAGGCCCAAGAGACAGGCTGCAAGATGAGGAGTCCGGAAACCTGGGTCTTGCTGCTGGCTCTCGAGCTCTCCTGCTGGGTGACCAAGTCTCCACCTCTCCACGGCCTTTGTTTTCCCTGCCACCCTTTGTCTGTTCGGGTTGTAAATAAAAATTGGGGTAGAGGCTGTCACCGTCTGTACACTGCCTGCTGCATGAGGCCCCAGGCTTAGTTGGGCTTGTCATGCAAATCGAGAAGGCGGCACGAAAATAAAGGTTACTTGCATGCATACGTTCCCCAGAGTCAAAACACTGGCTGAGAATATGAAAGCCCATGGATAACGTTCACATTAGCTTCTGCACACTGGTATCCCACCCGTGGGGACGTGGGGATCAGAAACGCCAATGAGAGTACTAGAAAAAAATGCCCTCTCAGTTTCTACCCTACCCGAGGCAGACAAGGTTCTTTGGGTAAATCCAATATCTTTTATTAGACCAACTGAAATAGTTGGAAAAATCCTTCTTTGCAAGCTTTTGGGTACAACCCGAGCATGTGCATGGCATGCAAGAGGAGAGCATATTCAAACAGATCCATCTGCAAGAGGAATCCCTTTTTCTGATGTTGGGCCTAACTATGCTGACTGGTTCTGCTACTACACACTACTGCTGCTGCCATCAGCATTTGAAGGGCTCTTAATACTATAAAAAACAAATCTATGCCCAACTTTCCACAAAAGTACCAGCAATTTACCTTCTGCCATCCTCAAGGCAATAGCCTTATGGAAGGAAAAAAAAAAAAAATCACCTACTGTGGTTTACCTACAACCCCATAATGCCCGAGTTCAGGCTACATCTTCACTGCACAGTCAAGTGATTAGCAACTGGGTCTGAGCAAGTACCAGTATGAACATCCCATCAAAGCCCTATGGCGTCCTTGCTTCTTCCACACTTAACTGGGCACATCTGGGGGACAAACTGGGCACATCTGGGGGACACATCTAAGGTTCTTTGTGCTGAGATGCTCTAGGACAATCTAATACTAATCAATTGTGTCGATTGTAGGAGAGAGCTTGTCTGTCCTGCCTGGAGCATTACTTTTAACTAGTGTGCATACTTCACTTCTTCCTTGTATTGGCCAACCAGGTAGGTAAGCTTTCCCAGCCTCTGTCAGTCAAGCAGCCGTGACTGAGAACCAAGACAATGGCACATCAACGCACACCCTTGCTAGGGGTGTTTGTCCCTTTCTTGGAACGACCAGCTCGCGTTTCTCCTTATGCGGTCTTGCAAAACGGCACTGTGAATGGCTGCACTTTGCAAAGAGGGCCTGAAAGACGTTGATGACCATTTGCGCTGGGGTGAGGAACAGGCTAAACCATCAGGTGCCCAGTTCAACCTTCTCCCACACGTGTGGAGAAATAATGCTGGCACATCCCAAGTCACGTTTGTCTGGTAAGGGAGGTCAGATTCTCAGTGGAGCTGCACGGGTCTCTATTCAGTGGATGGGATTCCCTTTTCACCCATCCCAGAGATAATCCTGGTGGAAACGGCATGCTTTGTGCACATGGCTATTGATGGGTGTGTACATAGATACAGATTAGACCTTTTCAAAACACAAGTTACTGGCACTTCTGGTTTCCTGGAAAAGCACATTGTTGGTTTCCAGTGTGACCTAATGGTAAAGCGGTTTATGAATGCCAGGAGAGGCAGCAGAATCCCCACCCCCTACAGAAATCCACGGTTCAAATGTGCTGTCCATCTAGCAGGGATAACATACAGTCATGAGAGGCTGCAGGTGGTTAAAGAGCACA